CGCAGCGATGGCAGGGGATGGGTGGGTCCTGCTGTGGAAACGCCATCTTCCCTCTCGGCCTCCATCCTTGAGGTCGTTGTTGAGTTGTCCCTCTGTGCCCCATCCACCCTTGAACTGCCACCGAAACTCCTTCCAGTGATTCTCCCCTTCCTCCAACTCCCACCACGATGGGCAGGGCCCCACCAATGATGACCCTTGTTTTGCAGCTCGGGCAGGCATTGCAGACACCATTCTCCACGACCTCATCTATATGTGCCACAACTCAGATCCTCCGGTTCATTTTTTATTGTCCCTGGAGACACCAGGCTATCCATAAGAAGGTATGTGCTTCTTCTTCCACTATGGGCAGTACCACGGCCATCTCGTGTACCAGTGCCAGCATCGTTTCCATCACTAGTAAGTTCAGTGCCGCTTCATCCAGCCGAGGGTAAGCCTCCTATCCGAGCTCCAGCAGAGTGATGCAGTCAGCGATGGGTGACTCAGCTTCCTCTCGCTTGCACTCTTGGAATTATCTTTTTGTGTTGGATGGCAGTTTCAAAAACTTCTGCCATCTCGTGACAGGCTGCTTGCAGTGTAGTCTGCCGCTCCGCTGGTAGGGCTTGGAAGATGCCAAGGGCTCCATCTTCTAAGGCCATTGGTAGTGCCTTCAGTGCCTCTTCTTCGGACCAGTCCAAGGCTTGGTATTCTGCCATGAACTCCTTGACTGGCCTCAGCCGGCGAGGACTGTCGATTGTTTTCTCACGTACCGCCACTGATACGAATCTCCCCAGTTCCCTGGCACCTAATGTTGTCAGCTGGATGGTTCGAACTGCCAGTTCCATGGTTCCTGACCTCCCCTCGTTCTTGGTGACCTGCAGCACAAGCCGGGTGATGGCATCCGTGAGACGGTCAATTGCCATTCCAGCCACTCCCATCCTTTAGTTACCAGCGACTCTCGGGTGAGTGGGCATTCCGGTTGCTGCGACTACCCCTTTCCTATCACCACTAGCACTGCCGCGACCACCTCCTCGTCAGACGTCACCAGTGGATTCTTTTGTAGGCTTTTGCATTCATACGTATGCTTATGTTAGGTAAGTGTTCAGTTGCCTTAGTCATTATATTTATATTGTGGATAGATCATGTGTTGAAACTAATCCTGGTCACATCACTGCTACATCTTCTCCATCACTCACCATTAACTCAACATATGAAAAACACATAGTATTTGCATTGTCCATGTCAATATTAGAGGCCTTATAGATGTGAACAATTAAAAATTTGATTCAATAATTTTTGCCCGGGCATCTTATGTCTGTCTGAAATATGGCTTACCTCACATATAACTCCTAGCCTAATAGAAATTGAAGGATATAATAAATAATCTTTGGTTCTTTCGGGAAAGTCACGTAGGTAGAAAAATAATAGATCACGACGTTTCGATCGCAACACAAGCAATCGTCATCAGGTGGATTATCCACAGCAAGAAAAAAACTGCTGAAGTAGGCGAGAGATCTGCCGTGGCACGAGGTTATAAAGGCCTCGGCAGTAGGAAGGGAGAGAGAAGGGGGGGGGAGGCGGGGCAGAAAGTGGACCGCGCAGCAGTAAAGTGGGCCTCCGCAGCAGCACTGAAGAGGTCGGCTGCAGGGGGGAGAGAGTAGGGGGTGGGGGAGGCAGCAGGGCAGCACAGAGAGAGAAAGACACACAGAGAGTCGGAAATCACAGCAGGTCGGATGGAGACATCACAGTCAGTTAAGACTTTACCTGGTTAATAACGTCCTTCCAATAATTACTCAGTTTGTATCCATCTTCTCGGTTGAAGTTGCGTCTGTGTTTATATATCTGGATGGCTTCATGAACAAATCTCTGATAATAGCCGGTGGGTTTGCAGAGTACCTTCGTCTTGGAAAAGTCAATTTCGTGTGAGCCCACTGCGTTAAAACAATGATCAGCAACGGCACAGGTATTGGTCCTACCGTGTTTCAGATCTGCCTTGTGTTCGCGAACGCGGTCCGAGACATGTCGTTTCGTTTCCCCAATGTAACTGCTGCCGCAGCCACAACTCAGTTTGTATGTCAGGAATTTTGTCCTTCACAGATGGGATCAGGTCACGAATTTCATGCACTGTGTTAATTCGGAGCTGGATCTTGTGTTTGTTCAAGATTTTTGAAATATTTTTGGTTATCCCTGCTATGTAATGTAAGGTGATGGTTTTGATTGAATATTCTAACTACACAATCCGCAAAAGCCATCACCCCAACCGTGAGGAAGGAGCCATCTGAAGATCCAATCGAAATCATCACCTTATCTTACATAGCAGGGATAACCAAAAAGATTTCCAAAATCTTGAACAAACACAAGATCCAGGTCCAACTTAACATGGTGCATGATGCCTGACATGCAATATCCCAGCGTCTACAAACTAAGCTGTATCTGCGGCAGCAGTTACATTGGGGAAACCAAAAGACATGTCTCAGACTGTGTTTATGAACATAAGGCAGATCTGAAACATGGCAGGACCAATACTTCTGCCATGGCTGATAATTACTTTAATGCAGCTGGCTCACGTGAAATTGATTTCTCTAAGACGATGGTTATTTGCAAGCCGACTGGCTATCAACAAATATTCGTTTACGAAGGCATCCATATATACAGACACACACAATTTCAACCGAGATGTCGGTTTTAAACTCGGCAATCATTAGAAATAAGTCATCAACCACTTTGCGTCATGATTTGATTAGTGTTTTCTTGTCCACCTCCACCGTTAGCAGTGTGGGTGTGTGAAGCAAGGTACAATGCTTTGATTGGTTTAGACCTACTGCCGGTGTCGGAGCCTTCTCCTACATTAACATTAGCTGCCCCACCCATCCCTAAACCTTTATAAACAGCTTGCCCTCAGAGGCTAACCTCCCTGTTTCTGATGATGACCAATTGTGTTGCGATCGAAACGTCGTGATATTTTTGTAATTTATTATTATTATTATTTCTATCTATGTGACTTTACCGAAAAAAACAAATAATTTCAATTCCTGCAGTCACGAATGTTTTAAGTCAAAATACTACCAGTTAAAGGTTGCAGGTTTCATACGTGATGCTGCATTGGCAGTCGTGCACATGAACAATTAACAAAAGACAGCACATTCGTCAATGACACTGCCTTAAGAGAAAAAAACTAAATATAATCTTAGACATTTAGGACAATGGTTCTACTTCATCGCATGTGAAGGTCATTGCCCTAAACGTCATCAATTATATGTTTGTTATTTATTTTAGGGCAGTGTTAGTGAGAAATGTGTTTAGTATTTGCAACTCAAACCAGCTTCGACGATTACAGGGAGTCTTCTGCAGATCCATTCAGGTGTCAGTGGTTCTTCTCAGCATTAGCCAAAAAAACCCGTCTGCCCAGTGAGCTAAACGCGAACACACCCGCTTAATGCTCAATAGAGTACTGTTTGCAAAACTAGTATTTGTTGTTCGTGACAAAAAACATCATATATATATTTCATGACCAATCACCTTTCTACAATTAATATATAGCCTTAAGTTTATATGAACCTAAACTACAGTTTTCTTGTTGGAATGTTAGACGTTCCAGAACGTTCTTTGTCCAGTCCCCTACACATGAACGCTAAAACTACATAAACCACACTTGAAGGATTTCAACTATTACATGTATTTCATATGGGAAATGATAACAACACATTTAGATGTATTGGAACATATATACTGTAAATACTGGACACACATTCTTTAAACAGATTACTGGTACAGAGTAGCAAGGATTGTTAAAAATGTGTTGACTGTATATGCCCTAAGCGTGCACAAAGTGGATCCGACAGTCAATATACATGAACGGGTCGTGTTGGTGCATGGTAACGGTTGTTGTTTTTGTTGTGATTGCATTTTGGATTCAAATATATGGATTTCGGAGTTTTAAGTACAATTTCTAATCTTTTTTTAATTGTATGTATAATTTACTCAATGTACTGCATTGATGTAAAATGTTTGTGCAAAAAATCTCGGAACAAAATGAAGAACTGAAAAATTTCAGTTCCCTTTTCAAAAGGCAGGGGGGTAAGTCTCAGTGACTAACGTGAACCACTTGCAGGTTGTCACGAGAAGTATGGTAAGCTCTCCGTGCTGACAGTAGGTTACTTGACAGACTCCAATGCCATGAGTTAACTCAAGTGACTGGCAGATGCACCACCTGTGCTCCCCACTGTGTCAATTTTTTGCGTTTGAATGAGGAATCTACAATGTTCATTTCACTCTCCAAAAGATGATGTAACTTTTTGTTACTCGCGGACACAATTGCTTACGTAAATTGACAAATTGTTGAAGCAAGTACTGTTAGCGAGGACCGGCACGGCACTCAAAATTAAAATCTTGCAACCGTGATCATTTTTCCGATTACACACTGAGCAGCGTGGTGAAGTATGGTCAAACGACCCCTACGACCTACATGGCGTGTGTGGCGCGGAGGTCTTCCCTTATCCAGCAGTGTTTTTATTTAAAATGTCTGTAAATTGTATGTGTAACCAGGGTTCAAGTTACCGCTAAGTGTTATCAGGGTCGCTGGTAGACTAAATTAGGTGGTACATGACATAGTAGCCACATTCATAATTCATAGAGAGATTTAGAATTGTAGCTCTTTTTCAGAAGCGACCTGGCTATCACAAATAATAGCTCGTCGAAGTGGCTTATCATGTGGAAATGTATAGCAGCCAGTTACTCTAAATGCGTGATATTGATTATAAATGTGAATGAAAAACCCGAAGACCCTAAGAAAAATCCACGCGACCATGGGGAGATAGAGAAAACGCAAACTCCAAATATACAGGCAACAAGGACCGGATTGAAACTCACGACCTCCTGTATACCAGGCAAGGTATTTAACATAACCAACTATGGATGGGGCAGAAACGTTTCTGCATGACGTAAAGAAGTGATGATGCAATCCCTCCTGTCGGCATATATAAGAGGCGCGCCGTAGAGTGCACGAGCCAGACGACATTTGGTGATCGTGTTTAATAATCTGGTGTTGTTTTTATCATTAACCCAGTGACATGGCAAGTCCTGCTCCTGCAACCACGCAGCAGCCACTGCCACTAGATGTTGATGAGTTACTCAAGTACGGGACTTCTAAACCTCTACCATTTATAGTGACAGATGAGAAAGGCATGTTTTATGTCGACCCTGATACGGCAAAGATCATCGCAGCCATCAACAAGCCGCTCGTCGTCGTTTCCATCGTGGGCAAGTACCGAACCGGCAAATCTTTCTTCATGAACCGCCTGGCGGGGTCAAACACCGGTAAGTGAATCGGCAAGATCCGGGTTTATCAAAAATTCACAAATCTAGATTGAAAACGCATTTCCTTAGAACTGCTTTTTGTTGTGTTTCGTTTGTCCTTTCACCACACCTCCGATCAGCATAGTTGGCTGGCTACGTACGGTGTGAAAGTTCAACATTAATACACTACAATGCACTTCTACATTACGCTATTATACATTACACTAATAAACACTCGGTTAGCACGGTTTGTCTATGTACGGTGCGAAAGAAATGTAACATATATACAAACCTCAGACGACAGTTTGTAATTGTTTGCTCAGTTTAGCATCTTTTGACTATGAGGTGTTTACTTACACAAACCTAAACTTACACAACGTGCGTCTATAAGCGTACAGACTATTAAGGAAAGTGCTGTTAGTGAATACCTACAGTGAGGGAAAAAAGTATTTGATCCCCTGCTGATTTTGTACGTTTGCCCACTGACAAAAAAATTATCAGTCTATAATTTTAATGGTAGGTTTATTTGAACAGTGCGAGACAGAATAACAACAAAATCCAGAAAAACGCATGTCAACAATGTTATGAATTGATTTGCATTTTAATGAAGGGAATAAGTATTTGACCCCTCTGCAAAACATGACTTAGTACTTGGTGGCAAAACCCTTGTTGGCAATCACAGAGGTCAGACGTTTCTTGTAGTTGGCCACCAGGTTTGCACACATCTCAGGAGGAATTTTGTCCCACTCCTCTTTGCAGATCTTCTCCAAGTCATTAAGGTTTCGAGGCTGACGTTTGGCAACTCGAACCTTCAGCTCCCTCCACATATTATCTATGGGATTAAGGTCTGGAGGCTGGCTAGGCCACTCCAGGACCTTAATGTTTTTCTTCTTGAGCCACTCCTTTGTTGCCTTGGCCGTGTGTTTTGGGTCATTGTCATGCTGGAATACCCATCCATGACCCATTTTCAATGCCCTGGCTGAGGGAAGGAGGTGCTCACCCAAGATTTGACGGTACATGGCCCCATCCATCGTCCCTTTAATGCAGTGAAGTTGTCCTGTCCCCTTAGCAGAAAAACACCCCCAACGCATAATGTTTCCACCTCCATGTTTGACGGTGGGGATGGTGTTCTTGGGGTCATAGGCAGCATTCCTCCTCCTCCAAACACGGCGAGTTGAGTTGATGCCAAAGAGCTCCATTTTGGTCTCATCTGACCACAACACTTTCACCCAGTTGTCCTCTGAATCATTCAGATGTTCATTGGCAAACTTTAGACGGGCATGTATATGTGCTTTCTTGAGCAGGGGGACCTTGCGGGCGCTGCAGGATTTCAGTCCTTCACGGCGTAGTGTGTTACCAACTGTTTTCTTGGTGACTATGGTCCCAGCTGCCTTGAGGTCATTGACAAGATCCTCCCGTGTAGTTCTAGGCTGATTCCTCACCGTTCTCATGATCATTGCAACTTCACGAGGTGAGATCTTGCATGGAGCACCAGGCCGAGGGAGATTGACAGTTCTTTTGTGTTTCTTCCATTTGCGAATAATCGCACCAACTGTTGTCACCTCACCAAGCTGCTTGGCGATGGTCTTGTAGCCCATTCCAGCCGTGTGTAGGTCTACAATCTTGTCCCTGACATCCTTGGAGAGCTCTTTGGTCTTGGCCATGGTGGGGAGTTTGGAATCTGATTGATTGCTTCTGTGAACAGGTGTCTTTTATACAGGTAACAAGCTAAGATTAGGAGCACTCCATTTAAGAGTGTGCTCCTAATCTCAGCTCGTTACCTGTATAAAAGACACCTGGGAGCCAGAAATCGTTCTGATTGAGAGGGGGTCAAATACTTATTTCCCTCATTAAAATGCAAATCAATTTATAACATTGTTGACATGCGTTTTTCTGGATTTTGTTGTTGTTATTCTGTCTCTCACTGTTCAAATAAACCTACCATTAAAATTATAGACTGATCATTTCTTTGTCAGTGGGAAAACGTACAAAATCAGCAGGGGATCAAATACTTTTTTCCCTCACTGTATGTAGGCCGAGACGGGGTGGGGTGACCAGCACCATTCGTTGTACATTGGTTTCTGTGGGAGTGTGTAATTGTATTCAGCTCTATTGATTCGGACCTGCGGCTAATTAAATAATGGGTGACAGACAGCATTCATTGCTCCAGGGTGTGCCTGAGCAATTAGACTCATGCTGTCGTTTCGGCCCAAATTGTATGAATGTTGAACTTCTTTAGCACCATACGTAGGCAACCACGTTCATCAGAGGTGTGGGGGAAGGACGACAAACTAAACTCAAAAAGCAGTTTTAAAGAAAAGAGTTTTCAATTTGGTATAGTGTCGTGTATACTAGTGTCGTCTTTAACAGTGTAGTGTATTAGTGTAGTATATAGTAGTGTATAATAGAGTAGTCTATTGTATACAAATAGTATAGTGGTATAGTGTGTACTAGTGTCGTGTGTAGTGTAGTGTGTGTTGTATGTTTGTTGAAACTCTTTAGCACCGTGCGTAGTCAACCGTGATAATTGGATGTGTGGGAGAAGGACGACAAACTAAACTCATAAAGCAGTTCTAAAGAAATTCGTTTTAGATGTAGTACTGTATAGTGTTGTAGTGTATAATAGTGCAGTAGTGTAGTGTGTAATAGTGGAGTGTATAGTAGTGTAGTATATTATATAGTGCTGTAGTTAACTGTGTAGTAGTGTAATGTATATGTTTATCTATGTTAAAGTTATTTGGCACCGTACGTAGCCATCCGTGGCTAATCGGAGGTGTCGGGAAAATAAAACAAACGAAACACAACAGCAAGCAGCCGTTCTAAAGCAATGAGTTTTCAATTTAGATGATGTAAAAGTGCACAGCTCTAGTGGATTTCTAGTGATGAGGCAATCTTAAGGCGACCCCACGTTAACAGGTGTTTAAACTACTACTGTACTAAAATAGCCCAGAAATGTGTGTAACGCGCGTGACGTTACCCCACATGCTGCACCCCCCGTCATCATAAACGGGTGGATTTTCACACTCAGTGGACAGATAATTTCTTCGCATAGTCGCTTCAAATATGACGTTTCTTTACAGAAAGTGACGGTCAAAAAAAAATACACGCAGCACAGTGCTACATCCGTACGTGACGTCACTGCAAAAGAGCCCCCCCCCCCCTCATTAATAATCGTGAACAGGTGGATTTTTACACTCCCGCAGGTCGAGCGGAAAGACATTTTTTTACGCAAATTAGCTTTAAATTTGACGTTTCTTTATTGAAAGTTAATCAAATATATAATTCTACGCAGCAACATAGTGTATTTGGTGTCTTTATTTATTTTTTCAGCACTTGAAACAAAAGTTAAGTCTAATTTTTGCTTCTAAATTATGATACTATATATACATTTCTCCGTGATTTTCCAGACATTGTATCCAACTCAAATTGATTACAACCCCAGCGAGCGAAAGCAGAACAAAATAAAGTATTAGTGCAGTGATTTAGAACTAATTGAAGGTGAGTTAAATGCAGTGCTACAGTGACATGAGTGAGGTGTTTTATGACGTAGCTTTGCGCAAGAATCACTGCCATTAATACAGTACAAGAGAATCACGCAAAATATCGTATACCGATGTTTCATTTTTTTAAGTTAAGAAAAATGTATTTAGGTGCAAACACTCTTTAAAAAATTTACAATCACACAAGAAAACGTAAATGTACATCTTTAATAATACAGCTTCCGTCCTAGGACGGGCAAAAGGCTAATTTAAGGTCAGTAAAATACAGTGCTACAGTGACATGTAAGTGAGATGTTTTATGACATAGTTTTGTGCAAGATTAACTGCCATTAATACAGTGCTACAGTGGAATGCAGTGGAGTGTTTGATGATATTATTTCGTATAAGATTCACTGCCATTAAACTTACACAAGATACTATTTCTACTGTGCTAATTTTTTTCCGTTCTAGGACGGGCACAAGGCTAGTTATTTCTAGTACAGTATTTAGCTCCTGCTTCATATTGCACATCATAAGTCACTTCTTTGAGCTTTCATTAAAATAAGATAATCGCTAAGTGGGCTTTACTTGCTAAAATAGAAATAGTGATTTATTTACCTTTCATATACTTTGCACTCCTCTAGTAATTTGTTTTTTGTTGTTGTAAACTTTCTCACTCGCCCCTACTGGACATCTGTGAAACAGCTTCATATCTCATCGGATCCCTCCACCATAAATACATATTCTGATTCTGAATTGAGCACACCCGATACTGACTCTTGACTCAGGCACAGTCAATGCCCACACTTTCTCAAGCACACATAGTGATTATCCGTGACACTATTAATTACACCTGGCTTAATTTATAAACTAAGGGGCCATCCATTTAGTATGTACGCATGGAGAGGGGAGGGGGGGTTAACCCAAATTAATACGCTTGCGTATGGGGGGGTCTACTGACAATGTACGTACTCATAGGAAACAAGGAGGGGGGGGGTGGTGAAGTCTCTATAATAATAATGCAGCCGGCGGTGGACTATCTGTATGCTTAAACACGTTAATATTTGTAATCCTTGATCGTTTCTGCGTGGATTAAACAGGTCCCTGCGGGGTGGGCTGGTAGGAACGAATAACCAAAGAATATAAACATAATGTATTATTACACTTATTTAGCCAGGAAAGCCTCACTGAGTGTAAAGGTTTTTGTAGGGTCCTGCCAAGTGTTTGCAGTAAGGGGCGATGTTGCTACACCTAATCGGACGATACGAAGGGAAAGTTTGAGGCCTAGTTCTAGGCTTTGGGCCTAGATGTAGGCTTTAGGCCGCTGTGAGTAAATTTATAATTTAAATGTTTTAATTATTAATGTAAAAGCTTTAAATGTAAATGTTTCTATTTTTAAACATCAGGGAATGTAACATTGTTAAACATTAACTCCTTTTCACACACGCGGGGGTACGATACGAAGGGAGAGTTTGAGGCCTAGTTCTAGGCTTTAGGCCTAGCTGTAGGCTTTAGGCCGCTGTAAGTTAATTTTTTATTTAA